GTGTGTGTGTGAGAGTGTATGTTTAAAAGTACTACAGTGGTGCAAGATCAGCTCATTCTGCTTACATAAATAATCTTTTTATTTAGCATTTATTTTTCTTTTTGAGTAGAGAGCCATCTTGGAGATTAAAGTGTTTGCAATACATCCAAAAATAGACCTGAGAAGAACAGGATGCAGATGAGTAGATAAAAGAAAATATAAATAAAATGAAATTAGAAAATTCTGAAAGTACTTCAGTACATTGATGCAAAAATCCAATACTGCTACAAAGCAGATCTGCTTTGATATGCAACATTGCTAATACACACAGAGAAAGGGGGTAGCTACCACCGTGTAAAGTAAATACATTGTTATATTTTGCAGCTCTAATGTATAATTGTGATTAGCATTGATTTTTGTGCCTCCCACGTCTACAATTAGTACACAAAAATATTCTTTAATGTTCTGAATATATCAGTTCGCTAGATTTATGGCTTCACTTTTTAACATGATCATAGTTGATCCTCACGATGAAACTAAGCAACTTTATAACTTTGCAAACCTCCGCTTGATGAAAATGGTTCTTTCACTCCTGCAGTATACCCTCCGCTTGCCACACCCGTCAGCATGATTGAAATAACTCTCGTGGTTTTGGGTGTTGGTGTCACAAGGTGTTTTTGCAGGCTTGGGTGTGCTTGTCTGTCTCTGTTTTGAGACACTAATGTAATTTCTCTTTTTACCAAATGACTGTCCTCACGTTCAGCCTCATCATGTAGTGACTAAGGGGTTTCTGTTGCAAGCAAACGAAGGCATCAGTCTGTACTCTGAGGCTCAACATCGTATTTCTCAGTCTGTGATTATCTCCGAGAAAGCATGTGTTTCATCAATTAAAAAAAAGAAACCAATCCCAATATTGCTTCATTTCAGCTTGTATGATCTGTTTTACCCTAACACATACTTTTTTATAAGTTACAAATATTTGTCATAGATGAGAAAGAAATGAGTTCACCTATTGTCTCCATCTAGATTGAGTGTATTCATTTTATTAGGTAATTTATGTTCTTCCATATATTAGCCTCTGTGCGGGACCTGCACACAAGACAAAGTTTCTAATTTGATGGTTTGGTAGGACTTGAAATGCTTTCTGACATTGCAGACACTCTACTCTTGAGCCTCAGAATGTGTTAAAACACTGGAAATCAGCTGCTAAATTACCCGCTGAGCTGAGTTCACGTCTGCCTCAGCAGAATCACACGCATGTGGTTCTTATCCCCCTCGGTTGTCTCTTCAGGCCGACGTGGCGGTGCTTGTGGTGGACGCCAGTCGTGGAGAGTTCGAGGCAGGCTTCGAAGCGGGTGGTCAGACCAGAGAGCATGCCCTGTTGGTGCGTTCACTTGGTGTCACCCAGCTGGCTGTAGCTGTCAACAAGATGGACCAGGTCAGACCTGCTACACATTAATGAAACGTTAGAGATTTACAACATGATTTGACTGTTACATTATAATACAATCTGTTCTTTTTTAGAAAAATCAAGATATTTGTTCTGGTGAACTATATAAAAAAATGAAAGCAATGAACCTTAAAACATGAAGGTTTACTGAATCAGGGAGCCATTTGTCCTTTAACTGTACTCCTGCAGATATGATCCAAGTTACACAAAACACAGTTAAGCAAAAGCACATATATATTCTGTAATATGGTTCATTTCACAGATTATGGCCCCTTTTGTTGGTTTACAGATTTTAAAGACCTTTAAATGTTTCTGTCTTAAGAGACGAAGGCTTTAGAGAACTGTGTGTGTGATTGTGATTTTGTTTCCTACAATCACTGGCATTTTGCTGACACATTTCCATTTCAAATCTGTGCTGAAGGGGAAATTTTCTGTCTCTGTATTTTTCCTTTTTATGTGTGTATACAAATCAGGTGAACTGGCAACAAGAGCGTTTTCAAGATATCACTTCCAAACTTGGCCATTTTCTCAAGCAGGCAGGTTTCAAGGTGAGTTTGCACTAAGCTTCTCAACATCTTTTCTTTTTTTTTTTTAACTTTTTATTTGTGCCATACATTTCATACATTCTATCAATTAGTAAATAAGCATCTCTGCATATGACAGTACCCATGCAAATTGGGACAGCCCCATAATATATGTGCGAGGTCTCCTCAGAGGCCACAACCCTGACCCCAGAAGATTTTCCATATTTAGCCATTATGACTGGGGTTTACCACTTAACTTATTAAAAGATATTAACCTCTTTATCAGTATCAGTATATGAACTTTTATATATTTAGCTAAGAAGAAGTATCTTCTAGCTTTTCTTTTTGTTTGATTTAGATTTAATTTGTTTTTCCAGGAGTCTGATGTTTTCTACATCCCTACCAGCGGCCTGTCAGGAGAGAACCTCACCACCAGGAGTTCAGTGTCACAACTTACCTCTTGGTATTCTGGTCGCAGCCTGCTTGAGCAGATTGGTAATGCACACTGGTTCATGCTGCCTTTTTTCATCCTGGATCTCTTGCAGATGTGTGAACGAACAGTTGTCATTTTTAGGTTTTTGTGCAAGTTGATTGGACTGCATCTGTTTTAGTCTAAAACTTTTAGTGAATATTAAAAAGCTTCTTTAACTTGAAAGATAAAAAGCAACCATGGAAAGAAATAATACTAGTGAAAAACTTAACCGTCTTTATGTTTGAGGCCTGAAAAAGGAAAAAAAACCACCATGATATATCACTCACTCTTCTTTCAGTGGTTTTAAATTGACACTACAAGTCTTCCAAAGTATCAAATGTGTTGAGAAATGGCTTGTACTTGCCTCAGTCAGAATCACAGTTGTGTCTTTGAATTCACTCAGTTTCCGTGGTGACAAGCTTGCACTGTGACAATGTGCATAAATAAAGTCCTTTGTAAGCCACTTTCTTTGCTCTCCATTGGTATGCTCAATATGTTCCAGTCATAGATGTTCTAAGATAAATGCACTGCTTCCCTGTTGTGCTCTGTGCTTTTGCCCTGTTTGATGCTCAAAGCTGCACAGGAAGTAACATATTTATCCATATAGCTAAAACGGTAGCCTAAGCAATAAACAAAGCATAAGTGTGGAACATTTTTAAGCCGTTTCTACGAATGCTACAGTGCTTTTTTTTCAGCTCTAAATACAAGTACTTATCACTATTGGAAACCATTGTAACAGACTGAATTCAAGCTGACTGCAGCCATGAAGCTTTTTACAGCCACCTGTAAAGCCTACAGGGAGTGAATGTTTGATACTCAAAGCACAGTTTTTGAGTGAAATATTACTTCCCAGTGACTCACCAAAGTACTTATTTATGAACTTTAGCCTTTTGTGCAACATGTACTTATTGTACATCATTGTGACAGTCATACAGTTGCTGATCATCCAGACTAATGGCCAGTAAGGAGATTTATTTACTTGGTATTTATCCAGTACCAGAGAAAATGATTCACCGCCACTGGTCATCATGATCATCAGACTTTCCGTTTTTTTACTGATTTCTTCCTCTTTTTTTTCTTCTTCTGTACTTTTCCTTTCTTCTACAGATGCCTTCAAAGCCCCTCAGAGGTCTGTAGACAAACCTTTCAGACTGTGCGTCTCAGATGTGTTCAAAGGTAAAAGTCACTTAAGGATGCCACAGTACCTCACCTGTGAGGGCACATGCACCATGTACTGAGGCTGAGGCCTTACCGCAGTGGCCCTGGTTCAATTCCAGCCTGCAGCTGCATTTCTCTTTTTTTCTTTTAAATGTAAGATATTGCTGATATTGCATTTTCTCTTCCCAGACCAGGGTTCAGGCTTCTGTGTAACAGGGAAGATTGAGGCCGGGTATATTCAGACTGGAGACAGGATACTGGCTATGCCTCCCAATGAAACCTGCAATGTCAAAGGTATGCACTGGTGTGTCATTGTTGCTAGTCTGGCATGGTGACTGACTTTCCACTTTTCACTGTCACAAGTCTTATAGATAACAGTGAGAAAATTATTATTCAGTTTAAAGTCTCATCAAATCATGAAGCCTGTGCCTCTGAACCTGCCTCTGTTCATGCCAGAGATAGCTGCTAATATGCTAACAAGGCTCACTCAAACACCCACGACATGGGTGGAACTACCTCAGAAAACATTTGTTTCAGCATCCAGACGTCACATTACTATAACTGGAAGGATATATAGTGTATGCACTTTTTTGATATCATCCTTCCCTCTATTCTGTGTATAATGTCTCACTGTTGCCATTACTTGTAGTTATACCTGCACTATATAGTTTGCCTACTGTATCTGCTGCACATGTTTACTACTGCACAGATCTTGCAGGTCAGAATGCCAGCTTCAAGCATAGCTGCATCTGAGGCCGCCTTTTTGTCATCTCTGAATGTGGATGACAGTTGAATAAGTGGTGACAAACACTGCCATCCTGTGGTAGTTGTGTGACTTACACTCTCTGTCTCCACCACAGGTATAACCCTGCATGACGAGGCTTTGGACTGGGCTGCAGCAGGAGACCATGTCAGCCTGACAGTCACCGGCATGGACATCATCAAGATCAAGTAAACAAAAATCTGTTCATTATAACATTTAATATAAGCTGGTGATGCATGTTGTATAGGCTTGGATTGTGAACGTTTGGCTATATTTAGTGATATCTTGCTTCCTTCCAGCGTGGGCTGTGTGTTCTGTGATCCGAAGGAGCCTATTCGAGCCTGTACTCGATTCAGAGCCCGAATCCTTCTCTTCAATATCGAGGTCCCCATCACGCAGGGATTCCCAGTAAGTGCAAGCAAACACACTGTACACTCTCACACAGTTAAACAATTTTTTGTTAATGGTGCTTGTGTGCTGGTTGTACAGACTTGTACAAACTCTGTTTCTGTTCTATTATATGTGCATGTTTGTTCATTGTGTGTGTGTGTGTGTGTGTGTGTGTGTGTGTGTTTGTAGGTATTGCTGCATTACCAAACAGTCAGTGAGCCGGCCACCATTAGGAAACTGATAAGCGTTCTACACAAGAGCAGCGGTGAGGTCCTCAAGAAAAAACCAAAGTGAGTGCTGGGGCGAGGCCTTGTATTACATTTTATATTGTGAATATAAGTACTCATAAGAACTGAAACATAGAAATCCACCTGGGTATGTTATCATTACTCCTTCTGTGTTTCCTTCCTGTTAAGGTGTTTGAGTAAGGGTATGAATGCCATCGTGGAGATCCAGACCCAGAGGCCGGTGCCATTAGAACTGTACAAGGACTACAAGGAACTGGGCCGCTTCATGCTGCGATATGTGGGCTCCACCATTGCTGCGGGGGTTGTCACTGAGGTAAAGTAAAAACCAAGAAATAGATTGTATAATTGCTTAGAAGTGGCTTGATGTTTTAAACTACTATCCTGTTCTTGAGGTGTATACTTTACCTTTACCTTTCTACTCTATATAACTTCTCAGTTTTTAAGCCTTTGTGAAGTAAATAATTAAGATTGTTTGGCATGTTCAATCCTATGGAGGAAGTTCTGTTTCTCCCTCTTTGATAAAGCATCCTTAGTCATTTTCCTTCTGACTTTTCCTCACTGCAGATCATAAAATGAAGAGCACATGGACACAGAGCCAGCCAGGCTTGCTCTGGAGACTGCATGCAGCCAGAGACGAAGTGCAATTCCTCAAGAGACTCAGAGCGTCACATTCATTCATCCATCCATCCATCCATCCATCTTTCTATCCAGCACAGCAGCTGCTACACCTGACAGCTCTGATCAACACTAACTTAACTGCACAGAAATCCAACCATGTGAGGCAGGATGCTGAGCGTCCTTCAAACAGGCACATTACCCAACTACCCCTACTACACACATCCTGTCTGACCCTTCGTCAGTTAGTAAAACCCTGTTGCTCTCAACTCACCATTTGCTAAAGCCAAATCAATAACATAGACAATCCTAACACGCTGAGATTTCCACAGTGATTAATTTCACTGTACTCTCATTGAAGGAGCTACGGATTATTTATCTTGGCTGAAAAAGAAAGAATCCTGGTGGAGCAACCAGTGCAGATAGTTTAACTGGAGCTGTTAATATAAAACCATTTGCTTTTTGCTGTTAACATATGGCTGGGATTTACTAACATTTTCCATAATAAGGCTGTCTTATTCAAAACCGCTGACCTGAAATTACAAAATTTTAAATTTAGACAGAAACGAAAGAATGCACGAGTTAAAGGCAAAACCTTTTATAGTGTTTTATTTTTACTTTAAGAATGTTTGCATCTCAGATTACATAGCTAAGGGGGCAAGGTCCACTCTAACCAGGGTAGAGTAGTTTGTGAACAAAAAAGGGAAGCTCAAATGTTAAAAACGCCTCCCTCTGGATAAAGAGACAGAATTCTCGTTTATGTTAACAAATGATACTTGAAATGCTTCTACAGTAAAGCACCGGAATTTGTTTGAAGTGCCGATCTGTGTTTATTTTTTTTCTATCAAAGACTCAGCTAAGTGGAGGAGCTGTGTTTCTGTTTCTCCATGTGTAAATTCTGACATGTTGGTTGAAGATGGTGTGAAGGAAGATGGCACAAAAATGAACATGACATCAGCAACATGTGGTTTGAGTTTTGATTTCAGCGACTTTGAAGTGTCCCTTTCTGTCCAACTAAAAAGAAAACTTTTAAAGCTTTGTGACAAGTTTATGGTAATACAGTCTGAAAATTAGCATCTAGCAGGCCAGCAAACACTGTGCTTTTGTATCTATCAAAATACATACAAGTAAGTAGGAAGTGAAAATGTAGAGGTGATCATTTCCCGTCATGTTTGACAGTGACACAGCTGGGGTTGTTCCCGTTGGAGTGGAAAGCACCACAAAACACACATCTCACTAATGCCGCCACTGAGTGTGACTTTGCACAGTTAAAAAAGGCTTACTACACTTGAAGTAAACTTCTTTTTCAGTTTCTACCTGCGGACGCCAAGGTCATGCATGCGAAATTGCGGTGGGCAAAGTTGCTCAGCACTTCCAGTTATACACGTTTTTTTTCCGGAATTGTTGAGATGGCGGAAAGACAAGGAACAAGTGTTGTGAGAAAGAACAAAACATCAGAGGAGTTCGGAATTTAATTAACGAATAGTCAATGGAAAGAGTGAAAGGAATTAAATCCTAAGACAAACACTTTTTTGCCTTTTATTTTATCTGTGCAGCTTAAAGGCGTTACCATCTTTTTCCAGAGTGACAGAGAAAGAACTGCAGTCAATCAAATATGCTTTTATATTTTCCATTATAAATAAATTAAATGAAGACATGTTATAAATCCAAAATAAACTCTGTGGAGCTTACTTTAAGCTTTGTTGAAGAATTATATTGATTTTTATTTCGATTATGAATCGTGAGAAAATGAGGGTGCCCCGCCTGTCTGCAAAAGCCCTACACTCACCAAAACAGAACTGTGACACCCTGTGGGGAGGACGGTACACACATTAAAAGAACAAAATAGTGGTAAATTGAAGTAAAAGAACGAATTACAATGCAAACGGTGACAGATTGTGTGTTTGCATTTGTGAAGGTTTCCGGGTTAGATCTTCGATAACGTTTCGGTGTGACAAAGGTTAGGATTTTTGTATCTGAGAAACAGTCAGTTCCTGCATACAAACACAGGAAGGTAATTGTGCATGAAAGCTGTCCAAAGGTTAGTTGTGAAAAACAAACTGTGTGCAACACGATACAGTAACCCTGCAATATATACTAACTTGATTCTCTCCTCTTTGATCAATCAATTAAAGGTGCATACTGCTAATTGTTATTCATTCAACTTAATGACTCACTGCTCTAGTTGCTGCCTGAGCTGTCATAGCGTCAGTCACAAACATTGAAAAATTATATGTAACGTGACGGGGGCAAAGGTCGGAAAAATCTTGCCAAGTCATTTTAGACCCAAGAAACAGAACAGTGGGATCAAATATACACTGACTCGCACACGCTTTACACATTTCCATGTTGGTCATTGTTACTGTTAGTCAGAAGCCTCATAAAGAGGACTTGCCACCACACACACACACATACAAGTCTGTAGGTCCCCCAGCCACCACAGATGGCAGCGTTCAGTAACATGCAATTTCTACAGTCATTTACATGAAGATGAACACATGCATTCAAGTGTTCTGCCACAGAAATACAAAAAAATCCTGCAGTCAAATATGTGTCAGTCATCTTGGACAAAGTACAAAGCCTGAAAGTGTTTTGGACTACAGACCCCTGACCTCTGAGGAATTTAGAAGAGCTAAGAGGAGGACGATGATGAGAACTGTTGATGCTTCAAGTCTAGTGTCCCATACTTTGATGATGAATCGCTTTCTCTGTAAATGGATGAGTAATGCTGTGGCTTAATCACCTGAATCTGCCTTCCTGAATCATCACTTACTAAAACTGACACACGGTTGTGTACTAAAGGCACCACAAGCATCTAAACATGTCTCCAGGACAACAGTATGTAGATTACTTTTGCACTGTCATGATCTAAATGTGGTTTTGAATGAAGGTCTATTACTTGCAGTGGTGTTTTTAAAGGGTGGAACTTAAAGTGGTAAAAATGAACCTTATTCTTTCATACAACTGCTTTATAAAGCTTCATTTATATTTTCAATTAGCACGTGCTATAGTTATAAGAACTTTGATTACAAACAACCAGTGCTGTGACCTTATTGGCTCCAGTCACCATACTGTGTTTTATTGTGAAATGTGGGAGGATCAGTGAAGGCCACGTTATCTTGACTTTGCAGTTTGATTAACACCACTGGAGACAGCGCCTGCAGCAGCCTTCTGTCGTTTTCACTGTGTCGTATTGGTTTGGTAGCATCGGTTGACAACCATGTCGAAGACCTCATACCTGGTTTTGGAGAACTTCATCGGAGGGAAGTTCGTGCCTTGTCAGAGTCACATTGACTCCTACGACCCGTCCACCGGAGAGGTCTACTGCAAAGTACCTGACAGCGGCGAGGAGGAGGTGGGACATCCACAATTACAATATGGTTATTATTACATTGCACTATGCATTTGGTATTTTCTCTGCACAGACATAATTAGTATTGAGAGTGAATGCAAGTGCATTGACCTTATAGGGCAGGTTGATTTTCTTTTCTGCAAAAACCCTGCTACAGTACATTTGTGAAGCTGTGATGTTGACATTTTGTTGAGGTTTTCACACCAGTGTAGCACAAATGTAAGGAAGTATTTGTAGGGCTTGAATGGGTCAGATGTATTATTCCTTTTTTTTCAGTGCATTTGACCTGTGTTTGACAAATGTTGGAATTTTTGAGACCTTTTTAAAATCTGATGTCTCAATTCAACTCAATTTCATAATTTGTACAAAAGGGTAGCCTTTATTGCAGGGGTATCGTGCTGGATTGCATTTCATTATAAGAGCTGTTAGTGTATTTAAACCAGATTTTACTTGCACTGAGCTCATGGTCACAGAGGTACTTTGCTCTTTACTGAGTCAACAGTCACGTAATCATTAAACATATCACATGTCAATTATAAACTTTAGTTTTTTGTGCTTAACAGTGGTGAGATTGATCATTTATTACTTATTGTTCTTGTAGTATTTTGTGAAATCAAAATTTCCAGCCATTATAAAAGTGTACACACAGACAATATACAATGTACTTCTGCACCTCTGTGCACAGCTTGTGGCCTCGGTGTGGACATGATGTGAGTTTAAGTTTAAGACTGTTTTTTTCTTCCTAAAGTTTTAATCTGAAGGATTTTTAGAAGCTATAAAATGTGAAGGAATCCAGTATTTCACAAGAAATATAGATAACATGTCATTTTATGTAAAATAAATAATAAACCGCTGATGTAGTGTAAGTATCGCCAATATGCTAATCTCTGAGCTTTACTGCCTGCAGGTGGAGGCAGCGGTGGCAGCTGCTAAAGACGCCTTCCCTGGTTGGTCTGACCGCAGCCCGGAGCAGCGAGCACAGGTCCTCAACAAGCTGGCCGACCTGTTGGAAGCCCACCTGGAGGAGTTTGTCCAAGCAGAGTCCAAAGACCAAGGTGTCTTACACTGTTTAATATCAGACTGTTGTATCAACCCTCTCCCAAGAGTCTGTCAGGTTATCAGTGGGTCAGTGGGTCAGGATTTATTTTTAGTAGTAACAAGGGGCTGCTGGCTTCAAAAGTGCAGGGCAGAGCCAACAATATACTGATCATTTTTATTTATTTTTTGGCTTGTACCAGATGTACCAGTAGTTGTAATTACAAATGATGCCAGATGAAATAGGGTGCTGGCATGGGGTCACTAAAACCACAAGATCATGAAAGTACTACTAAGTACTCTATGTATTAAATTATGTTTATATATATTGTGCACTAAGCTGACAATTGTCCTGAGAGTGGCTCTAAAAGAAAGCTAAAATAAACAGGGATCACGCCCTGTGAATGCTCAAGTAAATTTCATGGCAATTTTGATATTTCTAATGCACAGTACAGATAAAAAGTTTTGCAGCACGCAAGAGATCAGCAGGTCATGAAAAACATTAGGATTTCTATTCTATTTCTGAGACCGCCATCATTCACAGCGTTTATGGAAATCCTGCCATTTGATTTTTGGGATATTTTGTCACAAACAGAAAGTGTGGGTGAAAGGGACATTTTGACCTGATAATATTGCTAGAGGAAAGTTAATATGAGTATTTGATTAGTGTTTCAACACACAAAATGTGTTGCATGGTTAATCTGTTATCTTGGTGTTTTTGTAGAACTAATGCATATTTAAACAGAATGCCCATAACCTAAATAAAAACACAAACACAGTACATCAGTAAATCAGTGATGTATCATTCTCTGCTCTTTATCGCTTCTCCGTCTTTGGTGTAACATTACAGGTAAAACGGTTACATTTGCACGGACTGTGGACATTCCCCGATCGGTGCACAACTTCCGCTTCTTTGCGTCTTCGGTGCAGCACCACACCACAGACTGCAGCCAGATGGACCACATGGGCTGCCTGAACTACACCATCCGCTGCCCTGTGGGAGTGGGTGAGAGCTCAGTGTTTGCATTAAAACCTGTAAAGATTATATTTGTGCTTTCTGTATTTTTAAATTGTGTTGTTGTCTTTGTAGCCGGTCTGATCAGCCCATGGAATCTCCCCTTGTACCTGCTTACCTGGAAGATTGCACCTGCAATCGCTACAGGCAACACAGTGGTAGCAAAACCCAGTGAGATGACCTCCGTGACCGCCTGGATGATGTGCAAGCTGATGCAGCAGGCCGGTAGGACTACAGCACCCACAATGCAATAACAATCCGCTTCTCTAATTCTCTCATGAATCATTACACATAGACATGATTCTTCACTTTAAAGTATTTCTATTAAAACATTTTTACCTGTATTAAACATGAGTAATAAGAAACAAATGATGGATACATAAAACTGTTTACCTCTGCAGGGGTTCCTCCGGGAGTAGTCAACATTGTATTTGGCACTGGCCCGAGAGCAGGAAACGCGCTCGTTGGCCATCCTGATGTCCCGTTGATCTCCTTCACTGGCTCCACGCCAACTGCCCGGCACATCACAGAGCGGAGCGCCCCCTACTGTAAGAAGCTCTCACTGGAGCTGGGAGGTAAAAACCCTGCCCTTATTTTTGCTGATGCAGACCTGGACCAATGCATCGAGACCACTGTTCGCTCCAGCTTCTCCAATCAGGTAGGCAGAGAGTTTTAGTGAATCTTTTAAGAGACTATTTAGGATTAAGAAGATAAAGAATTTTATAGTTGTTTTTTTTATTTTACATGCTCTTGTAAGGGTTATTATCAAAGCTGGCAGGAGGGCTTACCAGGGACCCCAAAACCTCCAAGATTATTGTGGGTGAAATGTTTTGTGCTAATTTTATAGACATTTGTTTTTGGCAATACGATCCATAAAGCACATATCAACTCAGAGTAAAATAATTTGTTAAAAAAGATCCAAGATCCATTTAATAGCTTTTTCAGTATTTTTCAGCCACATGCATCTCATGGTCAGTTGTAGTTGTCAGTTGGAATTTGTCAGTTAAAAGCTAGCAAATGGGCCTTGAGTCAAGATTTTTTCTTGTCAAAACACATATCAACTGAAATGTGAAAGGAATAGTTTATTTACAATAGTATTTTGGGAAATACACTTAGTTAGATAGGAATATTTCTACCACTCTCATACTCTGTACTGTAAATATGAAACTGCTGTGGGCAGTCAGTCAGCTTAGCCTAGCTTAGCTTTTGTACAGTTTTAACACACAATAACATGTTCATATGTGAGCTTTAGAGGGGCTAATAGGCAGTTACCTTTGGACAGAGCTAGGATAGCAGTTTTCTCTTATTTCTAGTCTTTATGTTACGCTAACCAGCTGCTGGCTGTAGCTTCATATTTAACTGTGAGTAAAAGAGCAGATAGGCATATTTCCCAATATGTCAGTCTTTTCCATCAAGGGTGCGACCTACTTAATTTCCTCATCTTGAAACCGTCCCCTTAAGATAGTTCATGTGTCAAAAGAAAACTTTAGAATAACTTAATTTCAGTTTTGGACTGCATATGGGCTTATACTTTCCCAGGGGCCCTCCAGCAGGTTAATCCTATCTGTGTTTTAATCTTTAAAGCTCTTGTATATTTGTTTTTGCCAGAGCTGCAAAAGTAAAGATTAGCTTTATTCCTTTTCTTATTGTTAATGTCAATAAAATGCATGCTGTTATCTGTGTGAACAGAGCTGTTATGTCTGCATGTGATGAGGATGCAGTGACATGATTTACCCATGTGGGGGAGATCACGGCCCATATTTTGTTGTAGGTAGCCGCATGAAAACAGTGTTCAGAACAGTCAGTGCTTCAAACAAAACCCTCCAACTTCCCCCCTTCCTTCCATTTCTCAGGGAGAAATCTGCTTGTGCACCAGTAGGATTTATGTCGAGAGGAGTATTTACTCTCAGTTCCTGGAAAGGTTTGTGGCTGCAGCTAAGAAGTGGAAGACGGGTGTGCCCTCTGACCCCAGCAACAACAACGGAGCACTCATCAGCAAAGAGCACCTGGAGAAGGTGATGAAATAAAGTGTCAAATTATGTGAAAGACCATTTGAAAACAAGTTCTTTACAATACCTTAAGTTGAAATCCCTCTTTGTCTTGATCCCCAGGTCCGAAGCTTCGTAGCACTCGCCAAATCTGAAGGCGGTGTCATCCACTGCGGTGAGGGTGTTGACCAGCTGAGCCTCCCTGAGCGCAATGCCAACGGCTACTTTATGCCCGTCACCGTCATCTCAGGCATATCTGACAGCTCCCGCGTCATGCAGGAGGAGATCTTCGGCCCTGTCACATGTGTCAGCCCCTTTGACACAGAGGATGAGGCTGTTTCCAAGGGTAACGGCGTGCGTTATGGTCTGGGTGCCACCGTGTGGTCCCGGGATGTGGGCAAGGTTCACCGGGTGGCAAAGCGGTTACAGGCGGGTCTGGTGTGGACCAACTGCTGGCTGGTGAGAGATCTGAACCTGCCGTTTGGAGGGATGAAGAACTCTGGTGTGGGGAGGGAGGGAGGGAAAGATTCCTACCACTTTTTTACTGAGGTGAAGAGTGTCACGATCAAACACTAAGAGAGGAAAGGAAGAGGGCAGCAGTGGCAAGTCTTGATTGGTACAACATTTTCTGTTGGAAGCAGGTGCAGAAATATGGAGAAGGTTTTGCAGTCAGTCTTGACATTCACCATCCTCTGCTAGTCACTCTTTGGAATTTCAAACACAAATTTCTCCTCCCACCCTCTTGGATTACTGGAGCCTGTAATTAAGTTACATTTGTAGAATACAAAAGTCAGAGAAAGTCACAATGGAACAATACAGATGAATAAACAAGCAAAGATCCAATAGAAATGTCTATTGAAGAGGAAATCATTTTCAAATCAGTGTAATGTTCATACCTTTTTTATTCACTCCTTGCTAAATATTTTGTAGCACTATCATCTACTGTTGTGTTAAAATGCATTGGGTAGCATGTGTTAGGGCTTAAAATAACAAAAAGGTACAGACCAGACAAGGTAAACCAAGATAAGGCATAAGCTTATTTATTGGCCATTTCAAGAAAAGAAGTCAAGAGTACAATTTATGAAGTTAGGAACATCAACTTAATCCAACATCCTTTAAAGTTTAAACTCTAAAGTTCAGGATGTAGCATATTAATTCTGAAAAGAAGGAATACAAACACTGATAATACTTAATAAAAAAGTAAAAATGTTTCTCCTGAAGCAGATAAACACAAACACATGTATTGTGCCAAATTAAAACACCTTATATAAATGCCACATGTCATTGTGTTTTATGTCATTGTTGTCTGTGGAATGCAGTAGCTCTTGATAGTATCTATGCCCGAATTCTAAGTCAGTCACATGAAAGCAGGTCTGCAGACAGATGATCATTCATTTTGAAAAGGAAGTTTTATATCATTTTCTTTTATATCACACTTTGTACTTTTCATGTGTCATGGCGTTGTCGTTTATGGCTGCACATTTGGTCAAAGTCTGCTATTGTTTTTATGTCATGCAAACCTTACTGTATCTACTCAGAAATAACTGTTTTACATTGAGTTGTTTTTATGTCTTCTACCCAGGCATGTCCAAATATTATATTTCTTAAAATGACATATTATGTCGTGAAATACCTCAAACACCACATATGCCAACTGCATATCATAGGAGTTTATCATATGAAAAATGCCTCTTAAAAAAAAGGAAATTAAAGCTTAAAGCATATCCAAAAATTAAAAAATAATCGGTACCACAAAAGGGTGAATCTTTAAAAAGTAGGTAACTAAACTTAAGTGACTTGACATCCAGTACATTTAAAATAGAATCAATAAGTAATGATCAGTGTCTGTCTACAACCATCCTAAGCAGCTTGTTTCATTTTCTCTCGGTCACGTTTTTCCTGCACTTTTCAGCACACTACCCCTCCCCTCTTTGCACCTTATTAAACCTTATTATCTGTCTCCTCTCCTTGCTAAACATCTGATCATGACTTAATGCAGTGTGAGATGAGACTGATGTCTGCAGTGCATCATGCATGCAGATGAGCATGTTGCACTCGCCACCTGAACCCCCGTGCCAGTTTAGGAAAATAGGGAACATGAAGGACGCACCCTATCCCTTATACGAGTGTGTAAAATCACGTCCCCTTGGTGAGGAGTATGTGACATTTACCACAGAGCCAGTGTGTGTCCCACCCTCTATGTTTTGGCTAGGGAATGGGTATTGTGCTATGTCACGCTGCATGATTGCATACACACGCGCTCTTATGCCTTCCTAGAACATAGCGTGTGATGAAATGGATACCACCCAAGAGTCAGGTTAGGAGGTCTAAAGTGATATGCTTTGTTGCACCAGTACACACGCCCACAAAGTCATAATCTTACAAACGGAATAGGAACAAAGTAAGTCAGCAATTTTTTCATTTTCCGCCCTTTTTCCCATTTATCTTTCATCTCCCCCCTCTTGGATGTTTCATTGAGAAGGAAAAGGCCCATTGAAGCAGGTCTCGCCCAGCTGTACGTGACTTAGCGGACACTGCCTGTGGCTTCAGCCAAAGCAAGCAGTTAACTTTCACCTCACTTATCGGGCACAGGGAGAAAATGAAACTAGAGCATCACTCCATTTTAGATCCACAAGGAAACTGGAATGTCTAGCCAGTCGGAATATAAAAGATCTGTTTTCATGCTGGCTGCAGGGATGTGAGTGGCCTCCTACAGAGGGCCCTCTCATTGAATAGTATGTGAGGAGAGAACAGTCAGCCAACATCCGTTTTCTCTCTTCTTTGGGCCTTTTTCTGTGCTTTAATTATAAATATACACACAGGAACATTTGGGGTTTTTTTGGAAGCGGGTATGTGAATGTGTGTGTGAGAGATACAGATACAGAGAGAAATGAGAGAAGTCCAATCCCGACTTGATCTGGAATCATTATGTTTCCTTGTGTCCCAGATTCTGCAGATTGACAGCTTTGTTTACATGCATAAACCAACACAGCCTTGTCCGGTATGACATCTGATATTAGAGTTCAAATCGCAGGTTGTGTGCTTGGTCATTGAGTCATTGAAAATCAATGTCTTTTCTTGGTCTTATAAAAAACAAAGTAGAATATGTAACAGTAAAGACAAAAACAGCAAGCAGTGGTTTCCAGTCTTTTTTTGGCTTAGATTCTTTCTTTTTTTTTCTCCTTCTCTCTTTCTTTGAATGTCATGTGTCACGCACAGTAAGCTTGTTCTTTCACACAACCAGCCTCTCCTTCTCTCACCGTGCTCCCGTCTCTTAAGGCCTTCTGTCACATCTGGGTTCAGGGAATTTTCCACAGCGGGCGGCCTGGGTTTTGTGGTAGATAAGCCCTGAGATGAAGCTGAGTCCTGAGAAAATGCTGCAGTTCAAGCAGGTTAAGCAAACTCAGCCAAGAAACCCCATGTGTATATGTGGAGGGAGAGGAAGAGAGAAAGTTACTTGGCTACAGAAGGCCTAATGTTTGCAGCTGCATGTCAATCCCTGTTAGGTGCATATTTGCTCGTCTAAAAAGGTGATATGGCCGCTAAAGCTGGAGCTGCAAGGTAAAACTACCTAAAAAAAGTACACAATACTCACACTTTTCTAAAACAAATAATATTTTTAAGGAAGAAATGTGTCTTGTCTTTAATTTGATTGGAGAGATTGCATTGGTTGCAGCCGACTTGTTCAGCTGCGGTAGCCACCACCAACTTAAACTCACCCGTATCTGCCCATCCAAGTAGAAGTAGGCTACATGCTATCTATTCTCTATTTTTGCTTTGCTTTTGAGTTGTGATTTAATATCCTTAGTGACAAAAGGTTTTGTCATGCTAATGTAACATTTTGACTAACAGGCTAATCTGATACCGAACAAAATCACCACACAGTAGCTGCCAAAATGTGGTGGCCTAGATTCATTCTTCTCGACAAATTGAGTGAATGATGTGTTTACCCTGATTATACAATTACAGCATTATGCTTCACACCATCTGGACTGTTATATTGATATCACCAATAATGTAATAAAGAGCCAGTGTCTGATTTTACCTCTGGGCAGACATCCACAATGTACTTAACCATATTGTGTGAATATATCATGGAACACAGAGGATTTCTCCACTGAAACAGATATATGATACTGGGCTATATGTACTACTGTGCTTAATGATGAAATCAGGTCACTTTGTTATTTTTAGCACAGGTACTATCAGGACTATTTTTCAGCATTCGATAACTACACCGGCAGGTTTGACACGTTGTGAATGCCAAAGACTCATGGGAAGCTAGTTAAACGGAGGCTACAACTCAGAAAATAGGGCAGGACTTTGGCTCTTTTTACCTCCACGCTACAAACAATTAAAGAGGCAGTTATTTTCCTGTTGTGGTTGATCCTCCTCAGTCCTGCATATTCTGAGCCAAATTGTATCAGCGTAAACAAACAGAGTAAAGAGCAAAGGGATGATGATTTTGACAAAGACAAAGATCTGATGCAGACTGTTGTGAAGATAAAAATGTGTTTCTTATTATCTAACTATGACTATAGATCGCAAGCACACTTTTAGGCATTACAATTCAACTCCTCAGGCAGCAATGATTCATGCTTGAGTAAATAGTTCCTCTATCTTGAAGTGGTTCTGCACTTCGAGTATTTTGCCGTTGGGAATTCTCCACACCCATTTAGGAAGGCCTAGTTAGTATCTCATTCTCTCAATGCCATAATACAGGAACAAGTACAGGAAGCTCTGAAGAGATTAAACTGAGCTGTGATGTAGCTGGGGTTGTGTTATCCTGGTGGTTAAGTAAAAAAATACGCCTGTGCTCTTGCTACCATAAACGTCTTTGTCATCCTTAGGGTCCCTGAAAAACCGAATGGACCACTTAGGAGGGATGATGGTCCTTTCCACTGAGCATAGGCTAATTTCTAGAGCAGTCACCACACTGGCGCTGTTTCCACAAGACAAGTTTGCATAGTGCAACTAATGCAGACACAAGTGGACCAAAAAAAAGACTTGGGTCAACCACAGCAGAGCAAACAATATAGAGAAACCAGGTCAGCATGGAAACATTCAATGTTTACACGAAGGCATTTATTGATATAAAGCTCAGTCCGAACAACTAGAGCAGTCCATAAAAGAAGGAGAAGACTCGCAGGTTGGGGCAGAAAAAGCACATGCATGTCCTGTGAAGTAGTTGTACAAGTTTTTTTTGTAAACTGTGTCATAGCACAAACATGGCACAAATTAAAAAGACATAAACCTTAGTACTTACAGACAAAATATCCATAGAGGTGTAGGGTTTATATATTAGTGGGCGTGTTTGCGTGTGACAATGTGCAGGTATATGCAATATGTGAGAAAGGATGTTAAATATTTGTGGTATGTACATTGGTTGGAAGGCAAATATTGATTACCAACCAGCTGTTCTGGTTTCTCTATAGGGACCAAGGGATGTGACATTTTGAAGAACAAATTTCTAAGACTCATGTCAGAATTGTTCAGGTTGTCATATCAACCCCAACATGTTTGTGCAATGTTTGTTCATGAAAGATGCTCAAGGTAGGCAGCAGAGTGAGAGGTCACCAGTATTGTAGGCCGACGTGCCTGACGCTGACTCTTGGTTACCTAACAGCTCTCATCTGACACAGAGGGAACAAAACACTGAACATGTTGTCACATACGTACTGTAGGCCGGTACGCAGGTAATCACTCATCTGGAGTGGAACCACGTGAGTATGTGTGTGCTCCGTGTGGGATGATCTGCACTAGATTACTCATGTTCAACATTAGACAAGATGATGAATGTTTTATATAATC